ACTCTCTCTCTCTCTCTCTCTCGTGTTAGGTGACATGACTGATTTCAGTGACCCCAGTGGACTTAATGGTGTAACTGACATCACAGTCTGGTCCTTAGCATTCTGAGATAAAGGGGAACACTGGGCTGTGAAAGGTGTGTGTGGCTGGGGTTTCTCCCCCCACACTAAGGAAGGAAATGGCTGTACAGTAATGACAAGGTTTCTTATAAAGCAACTCATGATACAATCAAACATCTCTGGGGGAACTTTCTAAGAAACCAGGAAGGAGTTGTCTATAGAGAATCCGGTGAGAGCATGCCACATGGCTCCCAAATACCCTTTGCACAGCACACGCAGAGAACCATGCCCGACACCCCCATGCTATCACCCATCCATGGAGACACACACCTGGCCCATGCATGAGCACAATCAAGCACAAATGCCCAGTCCCAAACTCATTCCCTCACACCCATGCAAACAGATCAGAAACCCGCACTGTCCTCCCTCAACAGATGCCCACATGGGAACACGCACACAGAGGCGGGAACCCATGCCCAAGCGTGCACACCCATGCCCAAGCGTGCACACCCATGCCCAAGCGTGCACAAGGCAAACTTTTGCTTGGTGCCCTCAGTCCGAGGGTTTTAAACCCCCCCCCCGGGATGCAGGACTTGGGAGGGGAACGAGCGGCTTTCCTGGGATCAGGTGACTTGGGTCTTCCGTCCGGTACTTACAATGGGGGGGATGGCAGCAGCTCTCTGCTTCAGCTGCTTCAGGTCCAATGGTTTCTGAGGCGAAGAGTTCAGCCTGGCATCGGCGGCAGCGTTGAGGAGGCTGGGCCTCGGAGACAGCAGCCTGCACACAGACACACACGTCATTAGGAGCCACGTACTTCCCACCTCCACACGCGAGGACGCTCCGGTGCCCGCACAGCCTGTGCTGGGAGGAGGCGAGGGGTGGGGGATCTTTTCATTACGACTCTAGAGGTCGTCGGCTTCACTAGCACACAGAGAAGAAGCCCGGCACGCCAACGCATGTTGGCCTGTGGGCGCGTCACCCACTGGGGAGCGCACGTTACAGGTCCCCCCTCGGAGCCTGATCCACAGAGGAGTGGAGTGCTACTGTCTCCGCTGGGGAGCGGTGGCTTTTCAGCTCAAGCCCTAGCAGCTCATGCTTTCTGCTCTGGAGGTCCCCGGGACGGCAGCCATCGTGTGTATAATATACTTCGTATATTCCTGGCTAGCACCTCCCATACCTCACATAGTGTCTCAGTATTGGCCACCTGCAAGGGTCTGCTTGCTGCTTGCTTGCTTGTTGCATCAGAAAGGAGCAGCATCGACTGGCCTGGTACCTGGTGCTCTTACTCGCTAGACCTTGATCTATAATCAGTGATAAGTAGCACAAGTCCCGGACCATCCTACTCTGAACCAGTACGCACACCGCAGTACTGCTAACTGCTACTGCACAGAGAGCACTGGCCGGGATACAGCACACCTCCCCTCCCCGGTAAACAGCACCGACCTTAGGAGATAACAGAGCACTGTTATCATGGAGCGCAGCTTGTGACAGCCAGAGCTACTTGGCCATGGAGTGCAGCTGCAGCGGGAAAGGCAGGGCAGGGATTAAACAGCTCCAGAAGAGGAAAAGCGGGCCGATCCCTGCCTGCCTTGCTCAGAAGGGTATGACTCCAACGGCAGAAGTACGAAGAACAGGATTTGGCTCAATGGGCCCGATTCCTTTCACGTACGCAAGAGTAAATCAGGAGTAACGCTAATGAAGCCACGGCATTGCCCTGGCGTGAGCCCAGGGATGAATCAGAGCCAACGCCGGAGACCAGTTAGTTCTGAAGTCAGGGTGCTTGGTTCTGATCTCGACTGGGACGCCAGAGTTCACCAGCATGTGTGAAATCACAAGCAGGCCCAGGGCCGGAGATCTCTCTCACAGCGAGAAAGCCAAGGTTTGCATCCGGATTCAATACAACTGAGCGGTGTGAGGAACGGAGTGATCCAACCCAGTCAGACAGGATCTCATCAGGTCCACAAGACAAGCCGGTGCATTCGGAGGGCATTTCCTGGCTGGGCCTGCCCCTCTGCGACCGGCTGGCTACCAAGCCAACTCTCTCAGCGCCATTCTAACTCACTGGTAAGAGCCAAAAGCAAAGAACAATCCTTACACAATGTGCTGGCCTGGAGGCTCCCTGCCAGAGAGCGAGAGACAATAAACCAGCCCCCCCCCACTAGGGCATGGTTCCCAAACCGAGCCACTCGGCAGGAGTTTAGGCTAGAGCTGCCAGGAAAGATTTATCCCAAGTGTGTGTCTGAGTGGGCTCCCCCCTCCTCCCAGGGCTGGGAGTGCCCTGCCCCCATCTCCAGCCCTTTGGGTCAATCCTTCAGAGGCTGGCTCATCGCCAGGTTGGTGCACCTGAGCTTCCCGAAGGCTGCTGGGTGGTCCTGGCGGGAAGCTGGCAGGGTCTGTGGTGTTTGGAGGGAGGGCTGGGTCTGAGTCATGTTTGGCCCGGCCTGGCCTCCTCTCTTGCAGGCCTGGCTCTGCTTCCCTTCTCCCCCATGCTGCTGGGCACCCTGGGAAATCTCAGGGTGTGTCTGTGTCTCTGTGCGCATGTGATTACCCAGAGGAGGGAGAGGAAGAGAACAGGAGCGGTGAGGAAGGCAGAGCATTGGGGGTGGGGGGTGCTGAAATCAGGCAGTCGTCAGTGCAGAACACAAAAGGGGGGAGGAAACTTTCCCTCGCTTTACACTGGCCAAGAGGCTGCAGTGACGAATACACCAGTGCTGCCCTCCAGCCCAACCCTCTGCTTCCCAGCCCTCGCACAGGGCTGCCTTCTTCACCTGTGTTAGTGAACGGCCTGGCCACTGGTTCGTAGCCCAGGGCCTGTATTCACTGGGTCGGCAGGCTGGGCGGGGCGCAGAACCCTCCATAGCCAGCTGCAATCCCATGCGCCAGAGCAATGCAATGCAGACTCCACAACAGACCTGCCATTGGCCTCAGCAGGAGCGGGAGGAGTCCTCACAGCACAGGCCGCTGGGGTCGCCGTGTCATGCAGGGCAGCTGCTAACTCACATCGCTCCCCAGGATTGTTTAGCTCACTCAGTGCTTTTTAGCTTCAAAGCTGAACCCTCCTGGCACCCCTGGGGAGTGGGGAAGGGACTTGCCTTAGGGTTAGAGCTCCTGGCTCCCCGCCTAGTGCTCAGACCACTGGACCAGGCCTCTCTCTGACCCTCGGCTTCTCTCTCCCAACTACCAGCTGGTGAAGCAGTCCAGAGGTTTAAGGTTTACAGCCTGCTCTGTTTATCGGAGCTGCGAGCTGACTGCTCTTTTCAGTCTATAAATTTCAAGGTCATTCTGTGTTCAACTTTGGATGATAAACAAGTCCGGCGAGGCCATGTGAGGGGAATAAATATATCTCTGTGCCGTGCGCCCATCCTCTTTTCCCCGCCCCTTGCCCTAGCTCCATTCCCGCCCCACCAATCCTTCTCCTGCAGCAGATTCTAGTTACAAGGCAGGACCTGCAAAATGCACAGCCTTGGATTCCCCCCAGGAGCCTGGCCCAGGAGCTCTCTAAGGAGGAAACGAGAAGAGGGGTGGAGGGGTGGCTAATCAGAGCCGTCGTGGGAATAGATCACAGCATCTGCCAGCTGCGTGCATCGAAAGCTAGAAGCTCGACCGCTGTGGGAATGTAAAAGGATACATACCCCAGGGGGCCTATGCCCCACAACAGCCATGCAAAGCCATTGACAGGTGTAGGTAAGGGACTGACTGGCTCAAACTCTGGCCAGGATTTTCAAGCGACGGGTGATTTTGGGGACCTCCGTTTTTGGCTGCCCAACTTGAGACACTGGAAGGGACCCTGATTTTCAGGCTGGGCCATGCACCCTCTCTTCCCTTCCGGCCCCTGCAAGGCAGATCTGGCTGAGCAGCCAAATAGCTCATCACTTTTGGAAACTTTGACCTCAGAGTCTTTTCTTTAAAAAACAAACAAACTCCGCCTCCGAAAATCGAATTCCATTTCTTTCCTAGCCAACGTAACTTCCAGACGCCCTGATGCCAGAGCCATCTCCACCCAGCTTCCACTGGCTGGGAAGAGCTCGCTGCACCTCCAGTGAGGGCTGCCAGTTCCCATTAGACACAAACCCTGCCAAGCAGGTAACTCATCAAAATCCACGGGGTGAACGCAGTCCCCTCACTGACGAACAGGCCGACTGAGCGGCGAGCTGTCTGGGAACGAGACCGGGCTGCACTTCACTCATGAGCGCTGCGGAAGGCATAGCCGCGATTTCAGTCACAGACCCTTCAGAGGCAGTACGAGTGATGTTAAAATGCAGGGCCGGATTCTGACAGCTTTGCTCACGTTCAGCAGCATTTTACTCCACAAATGGACATCTCACTGGACATCTAGCTCAGTGGCCTGATTTTCTGAAGTGCCGAGCACCCAGCAGTTCCCATCTACAGACCGACCCGGCCAGCTCCTCGGCAGCAGCCGCTTTACATCTGGCCCCAGATCCTCGTGGGCCTCAAGTGGCTTTAGAAGCCCAAATTTAGGCACGTGGGTTTTAAAAATCTTACTTAAACCCTCAGCTGGGAGGCTGAGTTAATTCAGGCTTGTAAAGCACTTGGAGATCCTCAGATTCATACAATTCATATGGTTACAATGTCTATAAATTACATAAACTGCCAATTGACTGACATGAAGACGGGTGGACAGCTCTACTTGCTAGGAAAGCAACAGACATCACTTTACTGGGTAAAGCACCTGTCCGGAAACCGGGCTCTGGAACGTTACACGTCTAATCGGCATGTGTGTGAAGTGGAGAATGACATCTCCAAGACACTAGCTTACACACACACACACACACACACACACACCTTCCATTGCTAATTTTGGGTCTCCCAAACTATGCTCTATTGGCAACCGAGCCCCAAAGAGCTGAGCGATGGAAAAATCAGGGAGGGAAGGACATGCAGGATCCCTATGGATCTCATGCCCGATTCAGCACCATGGAAGGGGGATGAACATTGGCTGGGTGCACACGTACCCCAGGAAAAAGACAAGATGGAAGACTGGGGCTAAACTGTAAAAGTGTGACATGTGGAACCACATGAAGAGTTCTATCATGGTGCCATTTCTCATTCTACTGCAGAGAACCACCCAAAACACTAATCCATGCACTGCAGTAAGCAATGTTGGGCATCACCATAGGTGGCGAGTTATATGGGCCTGTGCTCCACCAATATTCAGGAATGTGGGCCCAGCTCCACCAATGGTTGGGTTTATATTTATCCATAGGATGGACCAGGGCAACCCTGGGAGGGGTAGTGGGAGGCTTGGCGCTGGCAGCAGCGGGGGGCTTGGCCGCAGCCCATCCCACTCCTTCCTCCAAGCCCCATCCTGCCTCTTCCCGCCCCTGCTCTGCCCCCTTCCCCCAAGCCCCCACCCCTGCCCTGCCTCTTTCCAGCTTCCGTCCCCTCCACCAAGTGATACCGGGGGCCGGCAGGGCAGAGCAGAGTGGGGCGGACTGGGGCCAGGCCCCCCTGCTAACTCCCCAGGCCGCCTAGGACACCGCATCCCCATGAAGAGCGGGACCCCCAAAGCATGGGTCCTGGGGAGGTTGCCCCAGTCCGTCCTATGGATGGGACAGCTCTGCTTGGACCCATTCTGGGCACCATCAAAAATTATACAAACCTGGCGCCCATGGACATCACTGTAGTAAATCCAAATTCCTCCTCAAAGCTTTCAAATACTTAGCCTCATGGCTGGGTGCAAAAAGTCAGAGGCTTCTGAACAGTTGCAGAACTGGGCCCGTTTTCCCTGCAGGGCTGCCAGGGAGCAGGGTACTTGGGTAGCAACGTAGCAGTGGTTGGCACCATGTCTCCTGGGCACATAACTACCAAGCCCAGGTGGTAAGTGCCTTCCTGTAACTTTTACTACTCAGCCTCCTGTACACTTGCAATGGCTAATTCCGCGCGGCACTGCACGTTCATTTACGTCTAGTGTGACCGACAGCTGAACTTCGCCACTGGCACGGCTAGCGGCCTTTTTAAAGGGATATATATGAAGACAATTAGCTGTATTTTTAACTCTGGAGATTTAAAGCTGTGATTATCTTCACCCTGGCCTGCCACTCAGTAGCACGACCCGCAGAACGATGGAGGGCAGCCAACGCAGCTGTCCCTAAGCATCATTCCTCCAGCCTGGTCCTCCTCTTCCCTCCTCATCCCGCAGAGCTACCCCACCCCCACCTGCAGCAGAAAGCAAAACACTTTAAATCACTAAATGCACTTGTAACTGGAGCAGAGAGCAAAGGAGGGAGAAAACAGCTTCCTTCATCCCAGCAGACAAAACTCTGTGCGTGCATGTGTTTGCGTACACCCACGGGTATACACACACACACCCACCCACAGGCGCACGCGTGCACACACACACAGCACCCAGAGAAGATGGCTAGGTTCTTCACCAAACCGAAGTAAAGATAAGAGCCGAGGGCTTATCTCCACAGGAAAGTCCCACTGGTTATAAGTCAAGGTGTTTCAGCGTGGACTAGCTGCCCAAGTACGTACCCAGGGGCCGGACTGTCCATGGTACAGGCTGCACTGAAGCCCATCCTGCCATGGCTTCACTGCTGCCTTCTCACGCCATCTTCTAAAGCAAAGCCTTCCCACAGGTATGGACCTCTGACTGCAGCGCAGACGTACCCATAGTTAACCCAGTAGAATGCCCCCAGGTAGAAAAGGGATTGCCCAGTTCAGCCGGGGTTGCTTTCTAAAGACTAAAGAAGCTCCTTGTAAACCAGAGTAAGAGTGTGTCCACATGGGGAGTTATACCGGTACAACTAGACCAGTTTAATTATACTGGTGTAACTGGTCAAACTTTCCCAGGCAGCCAAGCCCGGAACCCCTGCAATATCCCGTATTTCAGCACAGTAGCTGCTAAGAGGAGTGGCACAAGGCCCCCGGGGGAAGCCTGTTTAATGTTTAACGTCCCTGAAAACTGGTATTTGTTTGCCAGGGCAGATATTTGCTGCCTCTGGGGGGAGCCTGGGATAAAGCGTGGCTCCGGAAAGCTGATAAATGCTGCTGTTGTTGTGGTGTGAAGCTGGGTTAACAGTCAACCTGAGCGCCACCCTCCCCCTTTCTCACGGGGATTAGTAAGGGGGGGGGGGAGAGGGAGGCTGGGCTCCTTCCTCTGCCTAAAGGAGGAATAACAAATTCAAACAGGCCTGAACTCTGTGGCAGGAAAGCCACGAGTGACGGGGCCAGCCTTACAGCCCTGTGTCAGAGCAACCTCAGGCAGCCCGGCCAGGACTCACCCGCAGCCCCGTCTCTTAGCAGCTTTGCAGCAGAATCCGCCGTTCCCACAGGAAGTGCAAACAGCATCTTTGATTCTATTCTGCGAACTGTGCTCGCTAATAACCTCACCATGTTCCATGCAAGTGCAGCAGCAAAGCCTAGAGAGCTGATCTGTCTCTCTCAAGTACACGCTGGAGAGCGCAGGCGCCTCGAGAGGAACTTGCTGCTTTCCCATTCTTTGGGCCAGCCAGGCTATTAGCCCTCAGTACCAGCTTCCTAGCCCCCTCCCCAAAAGCAATTCCACACAAGGGGAAAGGAGGGAACCGAGAGGGCTCTCACTCACCCATAGAACCAACTGCTGCTGATAGAAGGCAGAGGGGAGCTATGATGGAAAATCAATTTTAGAATTTGTTTTTATAAATGACATCTTTCTAGGAGGCTGGGGATTGAGGAATCGGTTGGCTGAGGGGGAGGGCAGATGGGACCAGGTACCTGCCACCTCCTACAGAAGTCTGGCCACACCCCTGAAAATCCTGAATATTCACCTCCTTGCTAATCTAAAACACCCTGCAGCTGCTTCCCTGTCTCCACATGCAGCCCCAAGTTTTGGGAGGAGCCATGTCTCCATTTCCCCAGGGTCTATGGGGAAAATACGGGAGATCCCATAAAAGTCCGATCACACTCATCATGGCAGAGGCGTAGAGAGTTGCAGCATGGGCCGGTGACTTGCCCTGCTTTCCTCACGGATAATTAATGTCTAGCTGTTTAAATGGCCTCTCTCACCCCGGGAACAATACAGACCCCAATCCCCTCTCCACGCTGTAAAAGGGAGATCAAAGCAGCTCCTTCCCTGCAAACAGTATGAAGTCATTGAAGGAGAAATTGCCCACAAGTGTGGCTCCCAATGGCCGTTACTGAAATTGACTTGAGTCTATGCAATAAGCCACAAATCACAGGTCACCAGAGCCTGCCATCGATAAAGGACAGGAGCGTATTGCAGCCAGTGACCTCTGTCTTACTGCTGTCCACAGACATCTATCGCTGGGCTGTGACACAGCAGGGCAGCGTGGTGCCCTTTATTCCACTTTCCCTTCAGAAGCTGTTGCCAGCACAAGGCTCAAAGACACAAGGCATTAAAGAGCTTTAGACAAGGGCTGGCCCGATGAGAATGGGGATGGCAGGCATTAGAAATGGGAACGACTTACTTGGTCAGCAAATGCACTCATTGCTAGGTTCAGGATAAAGACCTAATTCATAAAAATGCTCTCTTTTTTTTTTTACTTCTGTCGCCCCCCTCCATCTTAGGGGCCCAAACATCAGTTAATTACGCCTGTCAAGCTCACTGCGAGGGAGGCAAGCCTTATCATTATCCCCATTTAATAGACAGGGAAATAGAGGCCCGGAGAGGAGAGGTGATTTGCCCAAGGTCATACAGCGTGTCAGAGGCAGAGCTGGGAGTAGCGCTCAGGAGTCTGGAACTGTCTGCTCTGTGCCTTAAGCCCCCCAATCACTTCCACATGCCCTCACCCAGAGCAGCACCATACTCCACCAACGGTCTCGCTGATGTCCGGGGCACTACGTGGAGTGGGTGCACCTCAGCCTGAGCAAAGCTGGCAGAGTCAGCTCCCTTATGGTAGGCATGAAGGAGACAGGGCTAGGGGAACGCAGAAGGACCCCACGGGATTTAGCCTTGCCTCCTGGCTCCAGCCATGGCCGATGACTGGCACTTCCCAGGAAAGATCCCATCCGCCATGCACCCCTGACGCTTCCACATCACTGTACTTGGGAGAAAGATCTCCCCCGTCACAGCGTGAGCTGCCGACACCCCCCTGGCCTGAGGCACAACCTCCCCTGCAAGAGGCGTGCCGGCCACACAGCTGCCAAGGCTCCCACGGGCAGGGAGGATATCCGGCCCCTTTGCCAAACCTGCTTTGCCGGCTCTGCTTCCCAGTCACCTCTTCTTACCTGTTTTTGTCCACGGCATCCTGCTCGTCCATCTCGTCTGCGCTGCAGGTGGCGCTGGAGTCGCTGTCGGGGTTAAGCCCGGCGGCTTTGCCCGGTTTATGACTCTCCTTTTTCTCAGCTTTGGGCGCCACCTCTGCTCCCGCCGCGCTGCTGACGCTCTCTGTTTTCTTGTCGCTCGCCTTGTCTCCCTCCGGGCAGTCCTCGGTCTCCTCCTTTTTGATTTCGCTCTTGCAGGGCTCCTCGCTTGGCTTCTCCTCCGGATCCTCCGTTTTCACCACGTCTACCACCAGCTCCTCCTGCGGCTTCTCCTCACTGCTGGCTGGCTCGGCTGCTGCCTCCTGGGGCTGTGGGGTGGTGGCAGCGGTGGGATTAGCTGCAGTAGCAGCATCAGCATCCTCCGCCTTGAGGGCAGGTTCTGGACCGGAGTCTCTCCCAGGCCCAGGCGTGGGCTTGGGCCCATTCTCTCCACTTTCTTTGGCTTCAGGCCTCGGCGAGGGAATACTCTCGGTATCCGAGCTGTGATTTACTGCAGCTGAAAGGAAATCAAACCAGAATCAATTTCTATAGCATTCATTACTACCCCTTAGACATCTAATACACAAACATGAGGCGAGGAGGCAGACACAAGAAGGAAGGTACTTCCCCAACTTTGTGAAACACTTTCATTCCCCTATGAAAGGCCAAATTCTCTTCCCAGTTACACTGGAGTAACCGCACTGGGGAAGCAGGATGCACCAGTGTCAACTGGCAGCAAGAATGGAGCCCTAAGTTTGGAAATCACCAGTGTCAACGTCCCACCTGAAGCAGACGACAGCATATGGTTTGTTATTTCCCCCTCTCCTTCTCCAGCATCCGGAACATTCCATTACAGCCCATTCAATTCAGCAACGGCCCAGAGGGACCCGACTGCCAGGGGTGGGGCTTAGGCTTTGGGTGGCTGGGAGCTGAGTGAGCCACTTTACCGGATTCCCCCATATTTCAGAGCAATAACCGCAAGCGTGGCCCATTCCTGGATTACTATTCTTAAATGTCAAGAAACAAAAATGGACACTGCCTTGATCTTATCTAGCGCTTTTCATCAGTAGATCTCACAGCGCTTTACAAAGGAGGGCAGCATCATTAGCTCCCTTTTACGGATGGGGAAACTGAGGCCCAGGAGGGGAAGTGCCTTGCCTGAACTCATCCAGCAGACCACTGGCAGAGCTGGGAATAGACCTCAGCTCTCCTGAGTTCCAGTCCAGTGCTTTAACAGCAGGCCAATGGGAATCCCCATTACAATGCAGTTATGTATTATACACACCGTAACAAACACCAGAACAGAGGGGGATTTTACAGTGCGTTTCACTGAGACATTTGTGGCCAAATTTTCAGAAGTGCTCAGCACCCAGTAGCTCCCGTGGAGACTCTCTCCCCCTCCCCCTGACACACACGCTTCCCTTCCCTCCGTGGGAACAATGGGAGCTGAAAATCTGGCCTGTACATGTCCCAGTCATGTTGCTTTCCCCTGTTCCAGCTGGAGAACACCAGTGCCCAGACAGACAGGACTGTGTTTGGGAGGAAAACAAGAACATAACATAGGAATGGCCATACTGGGTCAGACCAAAGGTCCATCAACCCCAGTATCCTGTCCTCTGACAGTGGCCAATGGCAGGTGCCCCAAAGGGAATGAACAGACAGGTTATGATCAAGTGATCCATGCCCTGTCACCCAATCACAGCTTCTGACAAACAGAGGCTTGGGACACCATTCCTGACCATGCTGGCTAATAGCCATTGATGGACCTATCTTCCAAGAATCTATCTAGCTCCCTTTTGAATCCCGTTATAGTATTGGCCTTCACAACATCCTCTGGCAAGGAGTTCCAGAGGTTGACAGTGCATTGAGTGAAAAAATACTTTCTTGTGTTTGTTTTAAACCTGCTACCTATTAATTTCATTTGCTGGCCCCTTGTTCTTCTGTTATGAGAAGGAGTAAATAACACTTCCTTATTTACTTTCTCTATACCACTCATGATTTTATAGACCTCTATCATATCCCCCCTTAGTTGCCTCTTTTCCAAGCTGAAAAGTCCCAGTCTTATTAATCTCTCCTCATACGGAAGCCGTTCTATACCCCTAATCATTTTTGTTGCCATTTTCTGAACCCTTTCCAATTCCAATTGGTGGATGCATCAAATCCCCAACTCCCGTGTGCTGTGTGTTAGGGTCACTGGCTTTCAGTCTGGAACCAGCAGCCCCAGCTTGTCCCCCCAAAGCACGTCCTTCAGGTCTAACTCCCACCATGCTCCCGCCCCAACTGCGTGGGACGGGGACATCAGCTCATCCTCCTGGCTACTTTCCTCATCTCTTCTGCACTCCCCCCACAGTGGTGCCGTGGTCTGACCTTCTCCCGGCCCGCCCCATACAGGAGCAATATTCTCCTGTTCCCGCTACCCCACATAAAAATGGGTTCCAGGGACTCCCTTCCCCCACCTGTGAGGGGGAATTCTCTCCTCCCCAAACCCCATACCTTCTGGTCAGAGGAGGGAGAAGGTCTTGTCGACCTACCCGGTCTCTGAACTGGACAGCAAAGTGCTGGGATCCCCACACTGTCCATAACACATCAGGGACAGAAAGAAGCATGCTCCTCTCTCTGCCTGGGCTGAGTGCATCCTGTTGGCTGGGTGCCGTTCTAATAATGGAGCCCAGCCTTAAAAACCAAGGGACAGGGTCACGAATCCAAGAGCCAAAACCCTGTGTCTAAAACCAGGCAGGCGGGAGCTCTCTGTTGGCCCTATGAACCAATGACATTTAAAATTGCTCCCTTCACTCTTCTTTGCATCGTTCTCGAAATTCCAACCAGCCCTTGTCAAGGCATCGGGGCCAGTTCCAGTGTGATCAAGGCCTAAGCCAAGGTTCCAACCTCTCTGCTTGCCTCCCAGGACTGCATCACTGTGACTATGGATACCAGCCTTCCCTCATCCCCGCAGCCCAGCCATAAAGAAATCCATGGCAGCAGAAGGAGCCTGCCACACGTTTTTGTTTAGCAGCCAATATGAAAAGAAAGGAGATCAGGGTCAGCCGGAGGGAAAATATCCCAGAGTTTCAGAACAGGTTAATGATTAAGCATCCCCAAATCTATGGGAAATGGCTTCCTCCTGAGCTGAAAACACTCACGTCTAGATGCAGGGAGGCGTTCCAGAGCGGAGACGCCTTTTGTTTCTTTGGCCCAAAGGGAGGAATATTTGGAGTGAACTGTGCCTTGGCAAGATGGCCTGCAACTCCTTCAGGGGGTTACTGACCCAAGGGAAAGGGTGTGCTCCATCAGTGGGAGTTGAGACTCTCAAAATATTTCAGAACGTCAGAGGTGTAGGGTCAAGATGAACTTGCTTCGGGATTTAAGGGCAGCGCTCTCCCCCTCAATACAGTAAGGATGGGAGGGAAGGTGGGATTCCTTCCAGACCCAGATCTGTATCCGTCTGCAAGGCTTTCAAGTTATATCCAAAATGGATGGACGCAGAGGAACAGTATTCTGATAGCTTTACGTCTGAGCACATCCAAAGTATTCCACTTTCTTGGCAGAAAAATGCCCCAAGGCCAATAGGAATTTCAGCCTTCCCTGATGTTTATTTACTTATAATAAATCAGTGAAACAGTCACCCAAGGACGATGGGCCAGGAATTTATAGTATTTAGGCCGGACAGAGATTTATGGTGTATTTGGCCAAAGCCTCGCTCATAAATGCACCCGCTTCCCTTCCCAAAGTGAAAAGGGGTCTGCCGAGGCCGAAGAGATGTCTGCAGACATTTCGCCTCTGGTTCAACCAGGCTTTAGATTTCCACGGGTTCGTTCCCAATATCGTGAACCTGCTGCGAGCGTGGGGAGCTGAATTGCAAATGAGTTGTGCACTGGCTGGTGAGGTGCATCCTACAGTTAGTTATCCGGCCTGGCTTTGCTATAAGAGGCCCATTCATTGAAGCATTAGGTGATCCGTACGTACGCTTTGCGCTCGCGAACCAGGTAGTTCGGACACAGACAATTAATCACGCAACAAATTCATCCAAAGCCCTCCCCTCCGGTCCGTATTCATTACGCCGAAATGCATCCCCAAATGTCACAGGGGAGCTAGGCAAACTGCTCAAGCATACCGCTGCTCTGACATTTCTGCTCCTGTGACATTTCATCCACTTGGCTTATAGCTTTGTTCAGCTCAGTAGCCCACTTCAGAAATATAGTCCTATCTGCCTCACAGGATGAATAAGAGATGGGACTCGAAGCCGTAATAACGTAAAGCTTCTAAGTGTGTCAAGAGAACTGCTTCAAGTCTTTAATCTTAAAACACATGGTTTTACTCTGAACAGCTCTCACAAAGAGCAATAACCACATCTTACACCAGGTCTGTTAGTCACAGATCACCCAGCGCAGATTTACGTGGCACCTGCCTTATCATGAGTCACTTTCAACAAAGACTTGAAAAGATTTGCAATTTCCAGTCCCATTAGCCTGGTCTCCAAGGCCGGGGCTCAGCATGGGGCCAGCACTGCTGGTTAAGTTATTAAATTACTTTGACAAAAGTCAAATGGGACCATTGCCGTAAATTACACACATTTTCCCAAACTCGCGGCTGAGGTTTCTGAGCCAGAAATAGCTAAAACTGTCACTTTCGGTTGACTCCCCTTCTTCTGCTCAAATGGGAGAGCGGAAATTGCCTGCCTGAAAGAAGATATTAAAAAATGCAGAGGTGTGCTGACCCTGCGGCTTAGCAGCTACTGAATGTGCTGCTGCCACGAAGAAGGACTTTCCAAAGCAGAAGTCACGGGATGTTTGTTGTTTAGGTCAGGAAAGTCATAAAAGCGATGCGCTAAAGAGAACGGGGCAATCTTGGCTCTACCAGCCCTCCTGCTGCTTCATTCGTGGGGGATCGGAGTCAGCAAAGCACTTCAGCCTGGGCTTCACTTAAAGCATGTGAGTAAGACCCCTCCTGATTCAGCAAAGCACTTAAGCATGTTCTTAAGTTATGCCTCATGCTCAAGAGCTTTGGTGACTCACAGCCTGGGGCAGCGGACAGGATAGTGACGCTTATTTTGCTTTACGACTGCCCCTACGCCCCCGTCGACCCGCACGGCCCCTGCTTTCCAACCCTCACGCCTTGCTGGGGGTCATGCAGGGTGAACAGACCTTTATTTAAAAGGAAACCCACTCTAATTTACAAAAGTCTAGAGGTGCACAAGGCCTAGCGACGTGGGACTGGAGGCCAATCACAGTGCGGACTCTTCGCTAGGGGATGGAAAACCTAAGGATGTGCAAGATGACACCCATGACCAGCCCAGAGATGCCCAGAGGTAAGGGATCAGTCAGAGGAGACAGGGTTTTGTCCTACTAGGGTGGGAATGATCATTTGGGCCAGGAGCAGTAGTGACTGAAAGTGAAACTAACAAAAATTCTATCCCCCAAAACGGCACCAACTGGGTTCCTGGAGGGCCGCCTAAGAGAGAGGCCAAAGGATGAATGAGCTGCGGCAATAAACCTCTTGTCTGCAGATAACCCCTCCGGAGCTAGGCAGTGGGGAAAGGCTGGCGCTGTGCGTGCTCTCTCACTCCTGGTGACAGAGGACTGGAGCTGCCAATCGAACCCCTAACAAAACAACGCCCACAGCAGCCTGAGGGCATGCTGGCTATCAGCTGACCAGGGTATGGAGCTTTATGGCCTCACACAAATAAACCTTCAGTAGCCAGGAATCAGACCGGGGCTGTGACCGAAGACAGTCCCTGCGACCGTGAAATCTGGAGGAGCCAGAAATGTCAGCGCTTCCGTGTCTTCGGTGCGGTGTGAAAGCGTCGCCCTCGCATATCCTCAGGGTGCCAGAGCCACTCCGCTCCTCCCGCCCACGAGATACTCTTACCAGGGAGACCCATGGAAGCACTGACATTTGCAGAGCAAAAATGCCTCTCCTGCCACCTGCCCTGGCAAGAAAGGGCTGCTCGGCCACAGCCAGGGATGAAGCAAACAAACCTAAGCCAATTCCCCCCATGGCCGTCGCCCCTCAAATGCCTCACCTTCCGCCTCCTCGGCCATCTCCTCTTCGTTGCCGCTTGTCCCCGATACCTCCATCTCCTCGTCCTCTGCCGTGGGAGGGAAGGCAGCTTCTTCATTCTGAACGGCAGGGGCTTTCTTCTTCTTCCGCCTTGCGTTCCTTTCTTTCTCCTGCGGGAGAAGCAGTCAAGGGTCAAAGACTAACCCCTCAACAGTAACCAAAGGCAGAGTTCGGCCTGCAGAGCCAGTGCTTTCCCTGGATTCCTCAATGGGAAGGAGGAAACAGGCTACATAAAACACTGCGTATTCTTGGATTCTCTTTACCCCCTTATCACTGCTGGACCTTATTAGTGACCGCACTGCAGAAGGGCAGACTTCATAAAATGACAGAAAGAGCAACTTTAATCCCCAGGCAAGGGTTGTCTCTGAAATAAATCTTGAGAGTTGAGGGGGGAATGAGAAAGAGGGGAAAATCACATTAATATGTATTTCTTAGATTCTGCCATCCTTACTTTGAGTGGTGCCTCACTCATTGGGACTACTTACAGAGTAATGCCCTACTCAATGTGAGTTAGGGTGGACGCATCTGCTCTACAGTTGGCACACACGTGCGGAGTACCAGCCCTCCAAGTTTCCCAGAGAAACTTTTACTAATTGAGTGGCACGCCACCCTTAGGAGGCTGCTGGAGAGGGAGAGGCTCACAGAAAACATTCGTCTTTGCACAATACCGCAGTGTAAGAGCAGGAAAGCATTGCAAACAATCATGTGATAAGATAAAACCGGTCTCCGTTTTCACAGCACAATTTTGAGCTTAAGACACCTAATTACAATCAAGAAGTTAGGCACCCAATTAATTCAAATTGAGGCCATCTTTAAAAATAAACTGGGCCTGTAATATCTACCACTGTATTATTAAGCCAATTTACAGATGACTAAACTTTAGTCAACATCGTGGGTGTCTCCATTTTTTGGATGCCCAACTTGAGACACCTTAAAGGGCCCTGATTTTCAGACACGCTTGGGCACCCACGTCTTGAAACGAAGTTAGTGGCCACTCTGAGCGCTCAGCATGCTGGAAAAAATCAGGTGCCAGGTGAGTTGAGCTGGACACCCAAATTTAGTAGATACTTTTGAAAAATTGTGCCCTGAGTGACTATCCCACTATCACAGAGCGAGCGAGCAGCAGAGCAGTAAACAGAATCTGGGAGTTGAGATTCCTTGCCCTCTCTTCCTCCTCGAACCACAAAGCAATACCCTCTCTTCTCTTTAAACACGTATAACACACACACACACACACACACACTGCTACTTCCAATAAACTGTTTGGCCTGAATCAAGAGTCTCGTCTCTGCTAATGTTTCCTGGTGTCATTACAGAAATAAATATAACCAGTAGGAACATGCCCGTCACCTGCTGCTCCCTCCGCTCGCCCCACTCAAATGACGTACTTAGAGCGTTTATTTAAATGGATGGAAAATGAAGGCTGCAGCAGCAATGCAAACTCTACCTTTGGATCTCGAGATTGGGGGGGTCTGATACCTTCCCTCTTTCTCTATAAACTCAAAAACCACTGGATAAACACCCCACAAACTGCTTTTGCTTGGCAACACTGCCGTTTGAACTGTTTTGTATCGAACTGGGCAGGAGAGGGTGGAGGTTACGTGATAGCCGAGGCAAAGAGCCCCCTGACCCGACCCACCCACTTCTGCGGTAACCCCATTCTTTCCACAATCTCTGCTCCCCCGGGGAAGAACTTTGTCAGAGCTTCAACTTGTGCCAAGGGAACAATTCAATAATTGTATGTTATTGTCTGAAGAAGCAGCTTGTAGTTAGGGCTTCAGATAATGCTAATGTGATGACAAAGCTCTTGCGTTACTATGGCAAAGCCTTCTTCACCTTACTGCCTCTCTTACTCATGTGTCTGTGACTCAGCCGAGCTGAGCTGACGAGTGGGATCTTATGCTGGGAAATTAGCTGGGAACAAGCCCCTGCATCAACACCAGACTTGGCTTTTCTGTTTGCACTAAATGACAAGCAGCGGGATTTGGCTCGTGCAGAGATGAACGCTCCGGCAGGCAGGCCTCTGGGGCTGCGAGAGACCCACTGAGTAGTGAAGTAACAAGGGTGAGATATTTAATGGAAGCCATTTGAATCCAGAAAGCAGAGCTGGTGGGGAGACATACCTAGTGACAGGCTCAAGCCGCATGCACAAATGTTCTGCTTTAAGGTTTCGGTTCTGGTCAAGGCATATCCAGCCCAATTCATCCCTGCTCTAAGTCCATCGCCTTGTAACTCCATCAAACGCAGCCCATCTGCTGTCATCATATACTTCGACTGAAAGCTCTTTAGGGGTAGGGGTGGCCTATCTTAACACAATGGGTCCCTTATCCCTGATGGCGATCCTAGCCACTACCAACGTATCATCTGACATTAGGTTAGTTCGCATGGCAGCAAAAGTGGGGAGAAGAGAAGCTTCGGTCAAAAATAGCATTCAAGGCAAAATTTGGTCGTCCATAGAACCGATGTGTTTGGACGGTGCCCCGCATAGTAAGTCTCCAAATCCAAGGGTGCTAGATACAAAGAATAAAGAAACGAGAGGACGGTAAGGTGAAGCTCATATCTGCTGCAGGAATTAAATGCTTTTACGTGGCGTTCCATCCTTCCTTTGGTCTGTAACTGAGTAGCTCTGGTCCCTTGGGCTCAGTTTGAGACCTGTTATCAGTACTTCAGTGGTTTTCACATCCATCCTATTCCTTGGTGCTCAACGTACAGTGTGTCCTATTAAAAGTGACTTGTTAGATTCATCCGAGAGGGTTTTTTCCCTTGGAACGTATGGGATAGCTCGAGCAGGACTGCGCTGCAGTCTTTGGCTTACGCGCATCTATGTCAAAAGGGAAATAAACCAAACCCTGAACTTCTCCCACGGGAGGTTATTTCCTAGCACTCCGCAGTGCCTAGTGTGTCATTCCACTTCCTATGGGGAGAATGGCCAACCCAGGTGCCTAAGGTGGCTGCAGTGGCTGGTTTCCAGCCAGCTCTATTCGGTTGTCTCCAAGTCTGGTGAGAATCAGCAGTTCTTCTCAACCTCCTCTCCAAGCTGTCTGGTGTTACTGGAGCCTTCCCCACTCTCTCTCCCTCCCTCCACCATCCCCGGAACAACCCGGAGGAGCCAGGACACAACCTGCTAGTGTGACATCATTCTGGGCCATCTGCCCCACAGCCCGGACAACAGGATCACCACCTGACACTGAGCGAGCAGCCAAAGCGGCGTTAAAAAAACCCTGCTCCTGATACAGAACAGTCATCATATTTATGCCCCATCAGCAGCTGTCTCAGCCTTCCCTAAAAGCATGACGTCGGCACTCCCGAATTAGCATGGCAGGGTCATGCGTATTCCAGCACTGGGATCAGAAGTGGGGCTAAGGCCAACCGCGTTGGAGTGTGTACCCCACACAGGCCCAGAAAGGGTGAATGGGGACCTGAGAGGCCAGTTGTGTTACCTGTTGGCACCTGGGGTAGAGGGAGAGAGCCAGGTTTAATTAGAGACCATGCCCAGCTGGGAAGGGGCTGGGTGGTAAGCAGGAAGTTTAGTGCAGAAGGGACAGATTCTGCAGTCAGGCTCTGGGATGAGAAAGGAGGAAGGCCAGGGATCCTGGGTGGAGAAGTCTGGCACGAGGACAGGAGAGAGACAAGCAGTGGAGTGGTGAGCCCTGATCAAAGGGCAGGTTTGGAGGACCAGGGAGGGAGCCTGGGGAGGTGCTCAGTGGAGGAACACTGCTGCAGAGAGGGAAGAGAGGCCATGAGTAGAATCTGGTTTGAGTTTGTATACTTTTGGTTTGGGACTTCTGTTAGGGGATCGAGGTGAAAACCCTGGGAGTCCTGGCCCCCGAGAAGGGGGCAGAGACAGTAGAAAGCCCCGAGAGAAGGGTGTGAGGACCACAGGGACCAGGGGTGGGGCCTGTTTTGTGAGGACCTTGGACCATTTTATGTTGGACGTTCCATTACCCCAGAAGGGTGGACTAAATCTGGCCAATGGGGCGGGTCACAGGACGGTGAGCTCTAGCAGCAAACGTCAACCTCCGCCCAATACGATAACCCAGCATCAGTCCCAGTCCTGCTCCAACTTCAATGGCCTTTGGGTCAGGTTCCATGTTAGCAGGGGGAGCGGTCCCCACAGGGCCCCACCTGCAGAGAGGAATCGTGGCCTCTGTTCCACAGCTGGGAGTCACAGCCCAGACACACACGGAAGGGGACAGCCCACCTTTCAACAAGAAAGGGCGATTGGATGTGTCTAACTCTTTCACTCAGCCAATGGGATGAGCGAGTGAACGGGGTCCCCAGCCTACAGTGCCTCCAGGGCAGCAAAAAGAGCTCATTCCCCACTTCCAAAGGGAAAGCAGGTTGAGTAGGGCAGCTCTCTCCCGCTGGGATCAGCGCCAGGATCCCGTCTGTCTAGGAGCTGTCCGGATTCTGAGGCAGCATCTTACAGGGAGCAGGCTCCGTCTTAATTGATTGCAGAAAGCGCACGGCTGGGTGCCCTGTGGACATCTTGCAAGGACTTGTAGGGATCCTTCAGTTTGATAGGTTAATATGAGCCATATCGTTCCCTGGTCTCAGGCAAGTCCAGAACAAGTGGCAGACACCCACTCGGGGAGAGAGATTCTGAGCTCCGACGGCTCAGGGAAAGAGCAACTTGAAAGAACATTCTGTATCACAATGCCCCATTTTCCCCTTGACTGCTGTGGTTAATGAAACAAGAGATCAGCGCGCAGAAGGTCAGGACTAACCGAGGCTGAAGCCAAGAACAGCTCTCAGGTTAGGGTGACCAGATGTCCCGATTTTATAGGGACTGTCCCGATTTTTGGGTCTTTTTCTTATGTAGGCTCCTATTACCCCCCACCCTCATCCCGATTTTTCACACTTGCTGTCTGGTCACCCTATCTCAGGTGCTCGCAACAGAACTGAGCCAAAACGCCCAGAGGCAGAGACTTAGAATGAGGCTTAAAGGTGGCGTGACTCAACCCTAATCAGAGGCACCGACCCCTCTGATGTGTTTCTTGGGCTGGGACCCCTCCCAATGGGTGGCTGTCAACATACAGCGGCAGGTGTGTATTTTCAGGGGTGGGGCTGTTAAATATGAGGTCCCCCTCCCCCCGCTTATCTGGTCCTGTCTTAAACCAATACTGCCAGGAGGGTTCTCCTCCAGTCACAAGCCAGTGAAAGAGGGACGTCTGGGAGTCTTCACAGCTCTGCTGAAAGGCAGACAGGGCTACACAGGCTTCCCTGAGCTCCCAGTATACAAAGTCCGTCTCTCAACAGCTCTCCAGGTGAGGTTTCTTTTCTGTAACAAAAGGACAGCCCTTCAAGTTCAAACCCCAAGCCCGGCATGAGTGGAGAAGCTGTGGAAGCCCATGGGCCATCCATGCCCCAGAAAAACAGGATGGAGCTGCCGTGGGCCTGCTTTCTGACTGCAGCTCGAATGGCTTTACTGGGCAGTGGGGAGGTGTCCTGGGGCGCAGAACAGGCTGGCAGATTCCCTTTTTGGGTATGTCTACACTGCGTCTGGGAGCCAGCCTCCCAGCCCGGGGCTTGCACTAGCATTGTGGCTCGGGCTCTCAAGTGTGTGGAGGGAAAGGGGGCTTGACAGCCCAAGCCGCAGTGGCTACACAGTTATTTTTTGCATGCTAATGGGAGCCCCACTAGCATAAGTCTATCAGCCGGGCTCTGAGGCTCCCTTTAGAGGCAAGACTCCAAGCTGCGTCCCTCATAACCCACGGGCACTGGCAAATCCGGGGTGTGACTGAAAGTCCGGCATGCATGCCCACCGATCCGAGAGCCGTACCTGAAAATCACCAGCCACAGGCCAATGCACCCATTGTGCACGAGTGCAGACTACAGCTGTGCTGGACACAGGGCTCTGTGCAAACCATTGCTGCGGTCCTGGTTTGCACGGGGCTCATGTTCCTTGGGCCGTGCTTTAGGTTCTACATTTGAATGAACCCTCAGACTTAACCTGAAGATCACTTGGAGCTACCGAGTTTCATTGGGATGAAACCATCCGGAACAGTGCATTTCATCTGGCTGTAATTCAAAACCACGCACTGGCACAGGCTAAACCATACACCGACTCAGGTTTGCCCAAAACTGAGCTCTGGTTCACTTGAAGGTTTTGAGAGACCTCAGCAAAGCTGGGCTGAGATCTGAGTTTGTAACAAAACCCTTGTTCTACCTATCCTAGCAACAGGGCTACAAACCATAAACAAGTTACATTTGAGAAATTAACAAGCGTTACTCACTGAGTTTATCCTCCTTAAATTAAATAAACATTCTAGCAAAACTGGGAATGCAGAGCCTATCCGTTTCCTGGTACGTTATCTGCAGGGAGATCAGTAATAGCTGCTGACATCCAGGTCAGGGAATAAGTTAGAGACTTCACTGCAAAATTACCTGATGACATATTGGCCTGACCTCCGACTGCTTCCACTGAGAGGGCGAGTCAAAGCCGACTCTTTTGCATGCCCAGATTCTATACAGGAAACGATCAGGAGGTTTGGTTTATTTGTGAATATATTTAGGAGTTAGGAAGGAAAGTCTGTGGAAATTCACTCTCAGTTGTTCTTTTATTTTATTCAGTTTTATGGCATCTGCTGTTGCCTAAAACAATAGAACCCAATAAATAACAGCTGAGCTTTCATTGTTCTTATACAAAACCTAAATTCCACAGCCCCCAGCGCTTAAAAGACTAGATGATGATGATGATGATCTAAACTGCACGCGCTAGTGAACAATATGAATGGGGGAGAAAAGGATGAGGGAAAAACTGGTTCTGCAGAAAAACGCCCATGCAGTGCAATTTCTGAAATATTAGGAAGCAGAGTAAATTAATATACTCAGCTCCGATTCTATTACTGAGTTCAGCGATCTTACTTCCGATTCTCCCAAGGAACGAACGCTAGATCTTTATAACATAAAGCTCTATTCGGAGAGGTTGTGTGTCTGTGTGAGTGTTTCATCCCATTCTTTAGGTAGGTGTTTTTGTTGTTTTCTTTGTACCGTTTGTTGGCTTTGTTTCTAACACAATTCAATGAAACATAGGAACACAGCAGTGTCTCTCAGCTTGGAGAAATGATCAAAAGAATCACCACTGCCCGCTCTACTTCTTGTTCCTACAGAGTGACTAGGATATTCAATTCCTGCCTGAGTCACTGAGTGTTTTCTTGTCTTTTTATTCGCATTGTAATAGCTTGCTGGAGAGATTCCTGTATTGAATATTGTCCCTTTCCTTTCCAAAGCACTCCTTGGGGGGGTTACGCCATGTGAATTCTATTAGCCAGGAAGCTCGGAACCCCAGGGTCCTCTGCAAATGAAATTATAATTATAATACTTAGCAGATCTGTAGTGGCGCGTTGCATCTTCAGAGTGCTTGGCAAGCGCCAATTAATTCATTCCCTGGACTTTGCGAGGGAAGAAAGTATTATCATCCCCTTTCTACCACAGGGAAACTGATGCACAGAAAGGTTAAGTGATTTGCCCCGGGCCATGGAAGGAATCAAAATGTCTGTCAGGATTCAAACTCCTGTCATTAGGCCACTGGACTATGCTTGTCCCCGGACATCCCAATGGTTGTTCTGGGAATCAACCTCCTTCCTTCTAATAGCGTTAAAACGGGATGACAACCTTGTGGGGTTTGGTTTTTGTTGTTTGTTTGTGGTCAGTTTGCCATTCATTTCTTTATACTCGGTGCTTGAGCTACCATGGGACATGCGGTAGTGGAAGACTGCACTGGAAATGAACAGCATTACTGGGTTCACTTCTGATCTCCGTGACACTGGGGTAAACTGGTACAACTCCACTGGCGTCAATGAATTCACACAGCTGTAACTGGGATCACAATCTGGCTATGCATCATAATATATAATGGCTATTCCCTCCTTTCTATCTCCTTTTTTCTCACTGAGTAGCACATGTGCATCCGAGACCTGGCCATTGTGTTCCACAGGAGCCCCCAACCTAGCCAGAAAATACCAAGGGCCGAAGGACAAATGCCCCCTTTCTCATTATAAGCCGTCAGCCGAAGCCTGGGCTCTGTGATTTTCACCCAGTAAATTCTCAGGGAAGAAAAACTTCCCTTTGGACTTGAGAACGTCAGAAGCTGTTTCACTGTTTGCCGGGAAATATCTGTGGTGCTTGGAGCGGGCTGCGGCGGGCTGCTTACCATTTTTAGTTTGTGCTGCTGTAGGATCTCGTCCAGGTTCTGTCTTTTCTTGTAGTTGAAATAGAAGTTTTTGCACTGCGACACAGTCTTGGAGCCCACCATCCTGGCAATGGCCGACCAGTTCCGCCCATGTTCAAGGAGACCTGCAACCAGGAAAATAAAATCAGAGGGGGCGAAACAAGGGTGGCACGGTGCACAAAGGCTGGGTCACTCCCCATGGACAAACCAAACTCTGCTGGGACGATATGGTCACCAGCACCCGTCTGCGAGACGTCTGTGGCCAAGAGGATGAGCGTTAGGCTCCTGTTTTTCTTTCCAGGTGAAAAGCATTAGACCCAGCAGTCTCGGGGAACAAAGCGCCTGTAGCTGCATCTACCAACAACGCTGACAGCTCTGCGGGGCTGAGGCCAGATCGCACCATAATGGCATGTTGGGGGCAGCACAGTCCCAGCACCCCACAAGGCAGTGACAAGAAGCCAGTTGCTCTACCCCTTCGGAAGATGAAAGCATGTACCCTCCTCCCTGGTGGCTGCAGTTATGCCTGGTCCCTACCCGGGGGGCTAACGGGGATGGGGAAAGGCTCTTTGCACCCTCCACTCTCAGAGCTGGAGCCCACAGGCTCGGATGGGCTGGATGCTGCAGAGACGGCCAGGAGGGGCCCAAACAAAGGAGCCAAGACATAAGTGCAGCGATGTATTCACCCAGGCAACTCCACTGCTGGAAGGAGGAGCGTTGGGGGGGGGGGGAAATCAGTGCTAATCATGGGCTCACATGCAGAAGCTTTTCAGGTCAGGCATCAAGCCAGGGGCTGACAACTGCAGGCAGATGGAGCAGCACCAGGATGCACGAATGGAGGATAGTAGTTGCGACTAGGGGGGCATAGAGGTAGGAAGGAGGTAATCATCAGCCAAGGTGTTTCCATGGCCCCCATTATCATTGTATCTAAACCCCTCCCCATCATTAATGTATTTATCCTCCCCACACTCCTGTGAGACCAGGTAGTGCTATTACCCCCAATTTACAGAAGGGGAAACTGAGCCATGGAGTGACCAAGTGACATACCTAAAGTCACACAAAAAGAGTTCCTGGTGGAGCAGGGAACTGAACCCAGGTCTCCTGATTCCCCAGCTATTGCCCTAACCACTGGACCACCCTTCCTCTGTGCAACGCTACCGCATGGCTCTGCTTCATACACACGCTATATGCAATAGACACGGGTCCAGTCAGTACAATACAGAGAGATGTTCACACACAGAAACACACCTGCCACAGGCACTGTGGAGAGAGACATGCTAACGCTGCCACTAGAAGCCAGTGGAACCAAGGAGGGAGAAACCTGGGTAGTGAAAGATCGAGAAACCTGGGGCACTGCCAAAGATTTAGTTACACGTCTGGCACTGGGAGGAGGCCAAACATAGGGAAATTACCAGCCTCCCCTTGGAATGCAGAGGCCAGCTGAGCTCACGGTGTATAAAGGTGTGGGAAGCGAGAGAATCCACCCCAGCTTGAGGTGGGGGTGCCAGGGGCCATTCACTTAATGAGTGCCCTGCAGCCCAAGCAGACCATCACAGCCCCTGGTGGCCACTGTATTGCCCCCTGGGACTGTGCAGGTTGCCAGGGCAGCAGGCAGGCCAGTGCGGCTGAACCAGGATGCTACCCTCTTACAAGTCTGTGTCCTTCCCACATGCTGGATTGCCTGTCTGGGGACTTCATTTGCCCAACGGCCTCAAAGCTGCATCTAGCTGGCAGCTCTGTATTGGGGCGTGTGGCCCCTTTAAGGTTTCCCCTGCCTGCATGTAAATAAGCCAGCTTAACCCCGCTCCTCCCTCTGACCCACTGAGATGTCCATAAGGCCCTGGCGCCTCCCCCCACTGCCAGGCTGGGCTGGGGCTGGCCTGCTAGGGAGCTGCCATCCGGTTGCCCGCAAGCCCTGGGGATGAGACATGTTGCACAGGTCCAGCAGGCTCCACACGGCACTGTCAGGTGGGACTGTGACCGGCCGGCCCTTGCGTCGGTCCATGTTCCTTTGCCTTTTGCCTGCCGCTTGCCACGTTCTTTCTAACCCGCTTGGCGAAGAGGGGCTATCGCAAGCCTCATGAAAAGCACCATTTTAAGGACACGCGAAGCACCCAAAATGAACGGGCAAAAGCTGTCTTGTCCATTGTGCCTGGCCCCTCTGGCATAGAGCCTCTGCCACCATGCGGGGGTTCTCTTGGTGCAAAGAGTGCCACCGACACAGACCCTCCTGCAGCACCGGAGGGTCTTCTCTGAAGGTCCCCCATCCCCGTACTGGTCAGGCCTTAGCCTGCTTAGCCTGAGAGCCCTGACGAGATCAAAGGCAGAGTCCGCGTTCCTGGTACAGGGAAGCCCATGGCATGTCCTTAGGACCCGTGCAGTAATTCCCTTTAAAAGTGCGCTAGCAACGAACAAAGGAACCAACCAACAACGGCTTTGTTTATGCGTAGGGCCTACTCTAAAAAGGCTGCATAGGTTCTGTGAATCCCAAGGTTGACAAATAAAACATCCAAAGGGATAAACTCTAGCGCCAGCGCGCACAGCTCAAGCAGCAGTGCCCCCCTGGGATCAGAGCAAGGGCTGGGAGAGCAGGAATTGGCACCCCGGGTCTGGGCAGGCGCGTGAGCTGTGTAGCTGCAGAGCCAGCAGTCCCAGCTTTAAATACCCCCAGAGGGCTGGGACACAGGGAGCACTGGGGGTGTAATGATCCCCAAATCCCAGGCAGCAGAAGCACACCAGCTCCATGGCAGACAAGGGCCCTACACCGGCTAGGAGAGAGGGGCGTGGGATTTCCCCAAAGAGATGCCAACCAGTACCCGGGCCAAACGGCCCTCGGATAAACACCCATCCGGCTCCGGGTGAACCCAAGGCCAGCCAGCAACGACGAGTGAAAGTTCCCATATCCTGCACCCTCACATGGCCCTGCACCCCCGACTATGCTGCATGTAACAGACCTGCCAGGCACAGCATAGCGCGGGCAACAGAAGAGTCGGGTTTGAGCTTTAGCTCTACAACTCCCAACGTTGATCCATTTAAAGCCATGACCTTGGCTTTCGGCTGCTGCTTTCGATGGGGACTTCTCAAATCCATCTTGCCACCAACCTTGAGAGACACTAGCCAGCGAGATCTTTCCCCCCCAGGGATGGCTAAACACGGCCTGGGAAGGCAGGCCGGCCCCATGCACTGTGATTCATCATTGCTTCCAAAACGAACAAATGAATCAATCCATTCAATCTTTGCTACTCGGAAGGCTTAATCCCCAGGGTAACAGACCGGGTCGGAATTGTAAGCTACATCTCGGGCAAGGGCCTTGAATAGTAACAATGGTTCCTGCCTCCACAACAGGCACCACTCTCTGTACAATTGTGTTGTCCTCCGAGACGACTGTGCTGCACGGTACGGGGCAGCAGGGTGTGCTAATTGCAATGGCTGTTACTGTGCCGGGGAGGGTCTCACCCCAAGATCCGTCCGTGCCCACTCTAGTTCCAAGTGCAGCTTGACCTTGTCTTGCTGCACGTAAGAAGTCTCTCGGCTGCCCTTTCACTCGTCAGGTGCGCTGCGCCCAGCGGTGCTGCAGGGCTGCTTCCCAATCACAAGGCTGTGCTGAAGCCTGCTCAATTTAAAGTCACCCGCTCCAGCGGCCCACGAGGCCCAGCTCCTTGGGAAGCTCGGCGCCCTTCCCCTCGCCTGCTGGGGACAGCGTGCGGCGTGCCCGGTCTCCACACAGGCAAATGGCGCGGGCCTGGAGGCAAGCATCTAGCCGGCAGGAGGGGAGCCGCGCAGGTGTCTGTGTCTATCTCAGGAGGAGGTGGCTGCATGTTTCCAAAGCAGAGACCGACCTTCCCCCCGCAGGATCAAACCGGTGCGTACAGACGCCCTTATCTTCGCAGGCAAGAGAACAAAACAGCAACACCTGCTTCCCAAAACTATAATTATCTGTACTCTCAGGGCGGGAGCAGCCAGCAGCTGCCCTGGATCTGGCTGGTGAACAGGCCACTCGCCAGGCACCACCAGTGCTCTGCTGAGCAACGTCAGTGTTCCCTTCCACGCCCCCCACCACCGCCGCCCCCCCCCCTCCACGGACTCTTCACTGCCCCCTCCCCCTCTATCACACAAGCCTGCCACACGCAGATCTGTCTCTCACAAAACGCACACACTCATTTCGCACCCAAACTGAAACTCTGACTAACCAGCCGACCGGATCTTAATCAGCCCTGTGTTGACTGGCGAGGAGGAGAGGATAGGTGTGTGCACAAGCACACACGCTCGCTCGCCCCATCCTTAACGTTCACCCCAGAAGCTCAGCATTTCGTTACTGCCCTATGGCTGTACTTACATTCTCCAAGTCTAGCTTCACCTGCCAGAAAATCTGCTCCGAGCATGCGGCAGGCAGAGCAGAATAAACAGGGAGAGCACTTCTTCAAAGCCCCGCGCGGCACAGCCGTTTGTTACCAAGCGCCGGGAGTTCTTGACTCACATCCTCCCCGCTCATTTTGTTTTCACTCCCTCGCAGCAGCCAAAGAAAGGGAAGGAAGGAGAAAAAAAAAGCTGGTTCTTTAAATCCTGGGGGCTCCGGCACTTAGGAGCCCTGGGCAGCAAGGGCAGCTACTGCGAGGTAACTTAAAACCAGGTCTTAAAAGCAGGAGGCGCCTGACCCTGACGCAAGAAGTTGCCTTGAACACATGCTCCGTCCTCAGTGCTCTCTGCCCCACTGGGGCTGGCGAGAGGCACCCTGGGCACTCCTCGGAGCTTTCCAACGGTCTGGAGCGGCGTTTGTTAAGGTGGACTGAAGTTGCTTTGCTCCCCCCCGCACTCCTCCCGTCTCACCTCCTCGCTCAGCAGCCCGGGGGTACGGGGAGGAGGGTCTGTGCAGTTTCAAGAGATGCCCAACGCTGCCAAAAAAAAAAAAGGCAAAGCAGTCGAGCGCGCGCTGCAGCTTCCCTCCTGCCGGCTGCGGGCCGGGAGGAGATCCGTGCCGTGGGTGTGCGGCGGAGCAGCAAACGAGCTCTAATCTTTTCCTCTGGCTGACCCAGAGGCTCGGTTTGTCTGAATGTGACCTCTAGACAGAGCATTAATAACGAGCGTGGCACTGACCCAAGCTGACAAGGGGTGCGGCCAACTTGGCACC